AGGAAGATGGTAGTCCTCAATACTTAAGAGTTTAGCTCTCAAGTTGAATATTTAATTATAAAAAGACGCAGATAGAGGCTTCTCCAATTTAATACTTGGAAGGTCAGGATCATACGCGCTCCAACGCTCAAATTAATGAATGAACAGTAATATTTGGTTTATGAGAAACACGAATGGGGAAGAAATGTTGGAGTAGAGTTTGATTTATTGAGTGAAATTACCAATTTGTGATTACATTCAACTATATTGATAGGCAAGAATGAAATTGAGATCGTTCGAATGCTTGACACATGGTCTCATCCCAAAGACTCATAAGTTGAACATGATAACGTCATATCATAGGCCTCTGTCTTCCCACCCTATCCTAAGTGGAAAAAAGGAAATTTGACTCACTGTCATTCTTGTAAAAATGTCACATCGATCAAATCACCCGTGACTCAATATATCATGTTACAACTTGCAAAATGCATCAGAGATCAAACCTGAATCTCCACGAAGTCAAGAGGACCATATGGTGTAACTAAGGGTTTGGTCTTCCTCGATCGCCTCAGAAAGGAGATATGACAAGTCTAATGCAAGTTGTATTACGAAATTTCGTATTACTTAAATCTTCAGTAAGTTTTGAAAAGGAAAATCTGGCGTGAAGAAGAAATTAATGAGAGGGACTGAAATATTTAGCAATAAACATCGGAGAGTGGCAGAGATAATGTAATCAAACCCAAACATACTTAGAACAATGATTATGTGATCATTATAGACATCCTTTGTGTCTACAAATGTCCCTAGCAAGCATTGGGCAGTCAGTCCAGAGGTCCCTGCCTTACTCCCACTCTATACGACTTTTCTTTTATGCATGCAGTTGGAGGGTCTCTTTTATCGAGAAAAAATGTTTTTGTGGGACGACTTTATATGCCAAGTAATTGGACCATCAATTCGAATCCCAATATCTCAGAAGCCGAATGAGTAAGAGAAAGAAACAAAGTTGGTGAGTGAACTCACTAGTTTGTTGAATTTTATTTATGCATGACACTAATAGTGGCGGATTCAGAAAAAAATTGGATTTGGACTAAAATGTTAAAAAAATAAAAAAAAAATTACACATTAAAAAAAAAATTACTAATTTTTTTTTTTTTACTTAGGATCTGGGCTGGAGGGACAGGCTGTAGCAGAGGCTGACCCGTCCCTAGATCCGCCCCTGACTAATAGAAACACACTCAGTGTGATATCTTGCAATTGGGTCATTGTAATTATGCGTTTGATGTCTAATTGTTCAAGCGAAACGATAGTATCGTGTACCGAACCGATGGCTCACTTTTTGTCAGTAATAGAGAGATGATCGGAACAAATCATTCAAAGGCTCTATTTAGACAAAAACGAGACGTGACTGTTACATAGGCAAATCTTTTTATTGTTTGTTTAGACTGCCTTTTTAAACCATATAATAAAAAAAGATAAATCTTTTATGAAAAAATCCTATATTTCAAGTATTATTAATAAGAGGAATAAATTAAAGAAGGTTCCTTTTCAATTGAAAATGATTTTGGGCAACCTTTGTAGTAGCAACTTTATTTGCAAAAGCAAATTTTGTGTTATGGATTGGATCTTAAATGTTGTCCAATTTTCTTGGAAAATCAGTCTCTTTGATGTACTTTGGAGGACCAATACACACAAATATTAAAGTGATGCTTAATTTAAATACTTCGACAATCAAATTGATTAGCAATATAATCGAGTAAGTGCGTTAATGAAAGAAAGCAAATTAAAACGCATAGAAAATGTTAGAAGAATTACTTGTAAATCCTTATGTCTCATGTATATGAATACAAAACTATTTATAAGTGTCAAAATCGCTTATATGTGGGGAAGTTCTCATTTCGAGAAGAACAATTCCACTTGTACATCAAAAGATGTACATAAGGGGTTACACCCCTCTCACATGGGGGCGGGACCCACTGTATAAAATATTTTTTTATTTAAGCGGGTCTCACCTTCATGTGAGGGGGGTGTACACCCTTATGTTCACTATGATATACTTATAGCAAAGCTCTTTGGAGAAATGTCATACTTTTTAAGTAAATGACTTGTCAAGATTTATTGCTTACAAACAATTATATCGTATGTGTTCGGAGAGTTATTTTGAGTTGGATATCAATAGATGCGATCAATTGATTTTCATAAATCTTCCTTAGACCTTAATACCCCATACCAAATTTGAACATTTAGTAACTAATTTAACTTAAAAATGAAGTCATTAATTTTTTTCAAATTCTCGATTACTATTCAAAGTTAAGGTAATCAATAATCCTTCTACTTCAAACAAGATAATCAACTCAATGGGTGAAATTTCAACCTAGTAAAGTACACTAAAAGAGTTACATATATTTGATACTTTCTTAAATCCATTACGGAAGTAACAATTAGAATTAAAAAATGATCTACTAAGCACCGATAACACAACACGTCAATTATTTGGTTGATTATTTAATTCTTGGAGCTTATCATCATTTTGTTTATTAGTTAATTGATGTTTTATATCATCAATGCTTAACACAAGCTATATCAATATTTAGGGAATATATGGTCTGATGAGAATATAGAATTGATTGAAAAAAAATATGAGATGGTCAACATTATCAAGATCCAAAGGGTTTCAGACATGAAAAATGTTATTTGTACAACTGGTTGACAATCACTCACATGGAGGGTCCGCCTCGATATATGATCGAGGTGGACCTCCCCATGTGAGTAGTTGTCAACCGAAATTATCGAGATGGACCCTCCATGTGAGTGATTGTCAACCGAAATTGTACAATTAGCACGGTCCTTCAGACATAATGATTTCACATAGTTTTAGCTTCTCCAACCAACGCGTGGACTGCGCGTCAGAGTGGTCAGATTGGCATTGTCAATCTATCATCACAATTAATATTAATATTTTAAAATTTCATTTAAGGACATAATTAAGTTGCATTATGACCATCACTTACTATATAAATGTTGGAGTGAAATGCAAGTCAGTCCACCACAGCATGCCTCTTTGAGTCTACCCCAGTGTATATAATTTAGGGTCCTTCAGATATTTTTTTGTCAATTGATTGATGATTTTCTCAATTAATCCAGTTTGGGCAAAAGAGTAATTGGATAAAACGTATTTATATCTTTATGTTGAATTAGTAAAGAACAATAGACAAATATATATTTGAATGTTCTCATTTAGTATGACAAAAACCCAAAAAAAAAAAAAAACTTTCACGATCTCCCTGCTCCTATCAACCCAAGGCAAATCAAGCTTCGATTGCCACATGGGTAAGCTTGGGTTTGGATTGTGTAGAATACAAGTTGGAGGACACAAGTTGCATTACAACTCGATTTGAATTAAACGTAACAGACAAATATCTTACATGTTTTCTCACTCTATCCGTATAAAATCTTATCTATCATTGTGCCACCAACCCGAGGTGAATCAAGCTTTGATTGTCACTTGGGTACGGTTTTTGGTCTCGATTGTGCATAATGCCAGTTGGATGAGACAAGTTGTATTATGTTTCACATGTTTTCTCACTCACTCTGTCAAAGATTTTTTTTCACCCGCTCCAAACAACCCAGGGCAAACCACATATAGATTGCCACTTGGATAAGGTTTAGTTTGGTCTGAGATGTACATGATATAGGTTGGACTACACAAGTTGTATTATATTTCTTTTATTGAATTGAACAAAACAACGGTCAAAATTTAACATGTTTTCTCATTCGCTCTGTCTATAATCTTTGTCACCCACTCCAACCAGCCCTAGGTGAATCATGTCTCAATTGCCACCTAGGTGAGGTCTAATTTGAGTTGTAAAAAATACAAGTTGGACAACACAAGTTGCATAAATATCTCTATATTAATTTTGACAAAACAATATTTAACATATTTTCTTACTCACTCTGCCAAAAATAGTACTCGTCACCCGGCTCCCACCAATCTGAGGTTAATCAAGCTTCGATTGGCACGGTTTGGTCTAGGTTATGTAGAATATAGGTTGAACAATACAAGATATATTTTATCTCTGTGTTGAATTTGATAGAACAATAGAAAAATACCACGCATTTTCTCACTCACTATATCATGCGTTTTCTCACTCAGTCCACCCGCACCAACCAACCTAAGGCAAATCACGTTTTTATAGCCACCTAGGGAAAGTCTAGTGTGAGTTATGCAACTACAGATTGGACGACACAAGGTACATAACATCTCTACATTGAATTGAACATAACAACGACAAATATTTTAGATATATTTTTTTTTTCATTCGCTATGTCAAAAATCTTCTCTATCATTCACTCTCACCAACCCCAAATTCGTGCGAACGACCTTGCCGTGCACATCACATATGCCTCTTTCTTATACATAATAAATGTACCGCTAGGCTTCTAATGGAAAACATGCCCCACCTAGAATCATGCATAGTCCATCTTCACATTTATTGAACACAACAAATGAGACAATATTGTTTGCACATGTAAATTAATTGGAGCCGTTCACTCACATTTTTCAACCTTAAATACCAAAGTCCAATGTGTACCACTTAGATTTTATAAGAACAAAAATTAAGACATTTCGTTTACTCAATTTCACACTACCAACATCTAAAATGAGAACCGTAAATTGCGCCTGCTCTTGTGGGGACAAAAGAATGCCACTTTGCGACTACGATATCCATCTAAAATACTACACAAAATTAAATAAAGATTAAATCAAATAAACTCAAATATATAATCTTGAAAAGGCAAATTTATTTTATTGCTTGAAAGGCTATATATAAAACTAAATAAAGAACTTTGAGAAAATTCAATTTACTTTAATGGAATGGAGATACATCATACAAGAACGAAATAAATACTTCGACGCTGAATGTATTGAAAATATTTAACGAAAAATACTAGTCGAGCCGGTGAACAAAATTTGCCGTCAAGATTGGCAAACCGACAATGTTTATCACTTGATCTTTGTAGTATCATATTGCTAGAAGTGCGTCCGCACTTGCAAAATCACCCATGTCAACAAAATAGTCATCGACTTCAATTGAACTGAGATCTTGAAGTGAATCATTAAAATTATAATCTGTGAAGTCTGATGATCCTTGTGAAATGTCCATGAATGCAGGAATGCCATCAAACGATATGCTAAAATCCTTGACCAAACTTTGAGTATCGTCGAATAATGTTTGTTCTTGAGGTTGGAAATTAAAGAAATCATCTAGGAATGGCATATCCATCGGTAAATAGTCCTTGGTATAGTCGGGTACCATGCTTGTCTCCCCTTGACACTCTTGGAGCTCCTGAATCGGACCGTTAGTTGAACGGGTTCCATTAAATGTTTGGTTCCGGTCAGGTCTGCCGACTGAGGTACTCGGTTCGACATCTTTGCCCACTTCCTGAACCGGTTCGGACACTGATTGTTGGTCGGTGTCATTGTCACTCGACTGGCTACTCCCGTACAGGAGAACAGATGTCGGAGATGAAAGATTTCTCGACTCGACACCCGACTCGTAGCCAGAAACTGAACTATCATTCGTCCCCGTCTTATCCTTGGGCGGCGGAGTTACGAAGTTGGTTAAAGCATCTGGCCCCCGGAGTTTTATAGCGGCGTTGTCATAAACCATGGCAGCCTCTTCCGCGGTGTCGTAAGTACCCAACCAAAGCCTGACTCTCCGACAGGGGTCTCTGATCTCTGCTGCCCATTTACCCCACGGCCGTTGCCGAACACCCCGGAACTTCCTAACTCCTCCATTGGCTGCCGGCTGCGCCACCTCTTTCACCTTCTTTGGCTTTGGTTTGGCCAGTAGAACCCTTCCATTTCTCTTCTTACAGCTTTCATTTCCATTGGTGACATCGACATTGGTTTTAGCAGCTGTTTCGATTCTGATTTCGTTGATGTACTTCTTCACTCGTTGCCTTCGAAAAAGCTCGTCCTCATCGTCACTGGATGAATCAGTTGCGTCGGGATCAGTCACTGAAATCCGAACCGTTCTGGGAAAATTCAAACTCAGTCTTTGTTGGGATTTTGAGGATTTTCTGGGTTTCTGATTTGAGGATTTAACGAGTTTTTGAATAAGTTTTGAGTGCTCGGTGAATTTCACCGGCCATAACATACTTTGATCCATTATTAAGAATTCGAAATCTTCACTCACTGGTTTTCAGAACACTTTTCCTTCAATAAGCATCGAAAAAAGGTGAATCGATTGAAGAGATGAACGTGAAAATAAAGGAAGATTGCTTTGGGAGAAGACACGAGTGAGTGACTGAGATTAAAAGAGGTAAACCGTCAAAGAGAAGCTTCAAACACAGAGAGAATCAAAGCCACGCTCTGATAAACAAAAATCTGACAAAAAGACCCAACAATAACGTTAAAAGTTGGGACTCAAAGGCATACTTTTAAAGGGACTTATGGGTTTAAAGAAAGAAATGTATCGATAGCAAAAGGGAAGCAAATTAACACTCGAAAATCTTAGATTCTGCGTAGAAATCCTTAATCCTGTTTACATTAGAAATATCGAAATTTCCATGAAATGTTTTTAAGGTAACGCTGCCAAACGAAAACACAGATAAGAGAGAAAAAAATGGTGCTTTATAGAGAAAGAAAGTAGTGTGGCTATCGGCCTATCGCTGTCTTATAGGATCGCCGAAATTGGTAAAACCCAAAATATACGCAGACCATTTATTATTTTCTCCTTTTTCATACTCATATTTTGAGAAAAATAATTAAATAAATCTTAAATTAGATTCCAAAATATCTCAGAATTAAGTAGAGAAGGGAAACACCGGCCAATTCGCCGGTGGCGAAGTGGGGCTAAAGTTTCCGGAGACTAGTGACAGGAAATTAACACGCCTCGCCGCATCTGGCAATTGTGTTGTTGCCACGTGCCTGCATGGACCCTTTGGTCCAATGAGTAAGCATCAACCCGTGCTGACTCAGTGCATGATTTTTGTTCTTGGAGTACGTGTGGCCAGTCACGTGAGCTCTGGTTAAATTAATTTGGTCAAAAGCAATTCGCGACTAATACTTCTTTGACCATATTTTAGTAAAAGATTACCGCTGGTTAATCCGTCCGTTAAGTTTTTGTAACATTACCTTAATTAACCTTTAATTAGCTGTTTTCCACATTTGTATTATATTAATTCTGCATTACGTATAAGTAAAATATAAGAATAACTACTCTGCCATGCTTTGCATCACAGGTGTTTTACACGCTCTCTCTCAATGGGGTGGACCCCACGTGCAATAAAAAATGCCCAAAAAAATACCCATCCCCCCTGTCTGCCAAGCTTTGCATCACAGGTGTTTTACACGCTCTCTCTCAATGGGGTTGACCCCACGTGCAATAAATAAAGCCCATAAAAATACCCATCCCCCCTGAATGTGAGTAGCTTGGAACAGCCCTGTGAGCCACCAGTCTGGTAATGTAGCGGGGCTCAAAATATAATTGCACAAAGAAAATAAACTGCTAAACATTATGAAATCTATGCAAGTTGGTTGTGCTTAAAAATTAGTGTTCTTGAATGGTGTTAATAAACATTATTATTTCAAGAAAAGTCACTTTTCAGTGTTGTCTAACATCCATGATTAAGTATGAGTGTCTAAATCGATGTAAATATTTTAATACTTCAAACTACTTATTACACTTCAAGTAATTCCTAGATGTACTTTTCAAGTCCACATAATTATTAGAATCGAATATGAACTTGAATATGTACTGTCAATTATATTTTTACCCATAATATTTTTTAAAAAAACTCGTGAACTAACAATTCAAACTATCTTCTCAACGTCTAGCAGAAATAAAATATGTCATCAATTCGTATCTTAGATCAAAACACTATGTATGAATGGTATGAACTGTCCAAACAAGAATTCTTGAAAAATGAACAATCAGTTCAGATATTCACGACCAAGAAGTACTGGATTCTTTTTCGGATAAGCCTATAATTAAAAAACTTATATAAAATGACAAATTCGATTTCAAAGTCAGATATCCTCGATTTCATTCAAGAATCAAGAATTGTCTTATCAGTTTCTATTTTTTTTAATGAAATCGGATCAAAACCTATGGTTCGAGAAATTCGATTTCAATTAAAATGCCAACCCCTATAATTGATTAACCATTTTTTTAAAAAATAGAAAAATAAATTAGAACTTTAAATTTTACAGTAGTATTTGGCCCCCATTTTGGAGAATTATAAATTTTGGAATAGTAATTGATGGGATGATGTATAGTTGAAAAATAATGAAAATATTTTAGATTTGTGTGTAATATTATTTTATTTGAATAATGTGGGGTTAAAATTAAGAAAAATAAAAATTTTAAAAAAACTAATCGGAGCCTTAAAAAATAACTTTTACAGCTAGAAATAACGTGGCGGGCAACCTTGGATTCGCCGCCATTTATAAATTAATTTTGTACGGCTCTCTGGATTTTACCTTGTTTTCTACCAATTACTACTCTCGAGAAAGTGTCTCTTCACTTGATTATGTCGTTCGTGTACACCACGCTCCGTAATTCACCCTTAAAAGTTATTCACTTTCATACACGACTGGATGGTGAGTGTGGTTAGAATTCTGGAGAATCATTCTCTCCGGTGATTTTGTTCCCAGCATCAATCGTTAACCGCACACATGTGATGGTGAGTGTGTTTGATAGCATTTAAGCATTAGTCGTTATCGAGTCTCATTTGTCTAATAAAAATTAATAATAATGAATAATTTTTCAATTTTAATCCGATTTTAATTTCTATCGAACACGTCCAGTTAAAAATTTTAATATGTTATTATGATTTAGAACAAGTTAAAAAATTACTATGACTTAGTTATTTTGTTTAATTATTTTTTTAAAAAAAAAACCCTTAATAAAATTAATTATAACTTTGTAAAAAATAACTTAAGCAAATTCAAACACAATGTGACAATTCTCGTGACTAAATACCGGGCTTTATCATGTGATCGATTTCTAACCGTTGTTTCTGCATAACGCTTAAATACTATCAAACATTTAAACAACGTAAAAATTCTCGTGATGAATTATGAGTCTTTTTTTTTTTTTATCGAGTGAATAATTAGTAGCGGTTAATTTTTATTATCTTTTAAACACGGTCATTGTACTAGCCGAAATTATAATATTTCACAATAAAAAAAAATAAAAAATTATAAATGAATGGTTATTGCCACCACTAATATTATAAATAAGTTTGACAGAGTCTAATCACACACAACAATGTACTAGCTGGCCTTGTAATATTTCACAAATATGCAAAATAAATAAATAAAATTTTTAATACAATAACATGTAATACTCCTTTCCTATATTATAATATGTTTCCATTTAATATGCAAAAAGACCTCGCACTTTCACTACTTTCCTATATTATTATATCATTTATGTGATTATTAATTAATATATATGTAACTTTTAAAAAAAAATGACTTGGATAAATTTATTGTGTAAATGAATTTTTGGTGGTAAAATGTTAAACTATGTTGGCACTTTTATTTTCGAACCATCTCGGTGAGTCGAGGCGGTGGCCCATGCTGGCTCCGTTGGAAAAAACATGAGTATACAAATTGGGTGGCCGCTCGAGCAATCGGTCGCGCACTCAGACAAGCGATGGAGAATGCAATTGTCTGAGCTTACGGTTATGGAGCGAAGTTGTATATGTATTTGTTATTGTATTTTTTTCTTATTATTTTGTGTTGTATTTGATTATATTTTCATATGTATATGATGTTTTAGTGCATTTATATGTTAATTGAAGAACTTTTTATATTATTTAATTAAATTTTAATAAATAATTTCGTTATTGCATTCATCAACGCTTAATGGCCGCCATAACTCGCTCAAATTCCTGAATCCGCCCCTGACCATGTCACACAAAATACAAAACAAAAATATCATCTGAACGAGGCCATAACATCGATCATTATGTTCTAGACTCAACTCAAATTTACACCTCTAATAATGACACGTAATCCCTTGTCATCCATAATATATTCGTTTGAATGCAAGTGCTTCTATCCCGCTTTTTTTATAAATATAAATCACACATTTGAATCTTGATCTACTGTCATTTATTTTTCAAATCTAAAATTTTGAGCTCAATCATCATTTATTCACCTCTTAAAAGACTTTACAAAGTACATATTCCACTCATTTTGGCTATTTGGTAGGTAACCCTTCATTTAATTGCAATAATCACACACATCTTAGATTTGTTAATGTGTGGTTAAAATCATTACTCTTAAAAGTAAATAAATTCCACCTAAATCATTCAATCGGAGGATTGAAGTGAATAAGCGATTCGATAGTCACAAACAGTAGAAACTTAAATTTTGTGTAACGTAACTTGAAGAAGGTTTAATACTACGTATCAGACATATACTTTATCGATTTACCTTGTCGAAAAGGGCATTTGTACCAAATAATAAAAGTAATACATATGTTTCTTGTAATGTATCAGACATATACTTTATCGATTTACCTTGTCGATAAAGGAAATAATTAAAGTAATACATTTGATTCTTGTAACAGTATCATTTTATACATATAAACATGTTAAATTCCAAATTTTAAGAGATATAGGTAGAGAAAGGAGATTATTCATCTCTAGTAAATAAGTCCATTTTGACCCTCATTTCTCAACATTCATTTTTTTTTTTCACAAAATCATTTCCAGCCACACATTTCTTGAGATTTACAACTTTTATCAAATTTTTAATCACATATTTCATCGAAATTTATCAAAATTTACTAAATACTTGATTTCCATCTAAACCAAACAGGGGCTAAATATGATAAGTCAATCATTGCGTTTGACATAACAAAATTATTTCGTGGGATAATTATTTTGGCTCATCTTTCGTCTTTTAATGAAAAAAAATGGGTTAAAGCAAGCAAAGTGGTGCTTTATACTTGTAGAACTTTTATATTATGAGGCTAAAAATCTACACTCAACTGAGTAAAAGGGGAGATGTGGGTACTACTTGTCCCTCCTAGCGTGCTTCCATGTAAAATCATAGGAACTACGGCTGAAAAAAGGCTTATAATTTTAAAATGTTCACATGTTGATGTACACATTCACAATTCACATGTGTCCATATAAATAAGAAGTCAAA